CCTGTAATCCCAGCTACTTGGGAGGCTGAGGGCAGGAGAATCGCTTGAACTCAGGAGGCAGAGATTACAGTGAGCTGAGATTGTGCCACTGCACTCCAGCAACAGAGCGAGATTTGGTCTCAGAAATAAAAAATTATTTTTTTTAATTACCAAACTAATACATGCGCAATACAAAAGAATTCAAATAGTACATAATTGTACAAAGTTAAAATACCATCTTTTTTAAAATTTAACAAGTTATAATTGGACTTGTCTTTGGGCAACAATACTAAAATTATTTGGAACCATTTATTCTAATACAATAGAATTAATAGTACAGCATAGCATTCATTCCAAATCACTAAAGATTGGTACATTCACTGTCCAGTGGCTATTTCTTACGTACCTTCCAGGTGCAGGCACTTAAGATGGCACTAGGGGAACAGCGGTGAAAAAAATAGACGTGGTTGGTTAACATATCAGAGGTTACAATCTATGACATGTTTTGAATGTTTGGAATTGCTTTGGGAGTACCTCTCTTGCCATGAGTCTGGGCTCAGAAAATAAAAACTAATTTTATTATAACCCAAAATAAAATATTGGGAGGCACGTATCCTGAGGAGATTATAACCCATGAGAAAATCACATTCAGTTATTTTATCTTTTTGCTGCTGCTCTCTGTTTGTTTGAAGAATAAAGACTTAGCTATCTTTGGGGACAGGGAAAAATTACTTCAAGTATCCATAGAAAAACTTATTTTCATGTAGTCCCTAGGTATGGTAAATGACACCTTTAATGCTAGGCCTCCTGTGGCATCAGGCAGGATGAAACTAGACAGTCTCCAATAAAGAAAATATTATTCAGAGACCTGCAAAAGAGGGAGGGAAGCACCAGTTCTCAGAAACAATTGATCCATTCGGTTAACCAGGTGCCCGGCTTGTATCATCAACAGAGACAGAGTCACCAGAAAGCTATCTTTCTGTCCAATGGTTGATGAGAATGAGGGAGGGACAGAAGAGGGGGAAAAAAATAAGTAAATTATGTGATCTGTTACAAAGTTGAACATGCTATGGAAAAAAATAGTAGAGCCGGCTGAGCAGGATCCAGAATGCCGACGGGGCCTGCAGTGGGTGGGGAGAGGCCAGATTACAGGATGAAACAGGACAGTCAGGGTCAGCCTCATAAAGGAGTCGAGGTTTAAGCAGAGGATTGAAGGTGGCGAATGAGCCGAGTAGGACTTGGGGAAGAGCTTGCAAGGCAGAGGGGCAAGAGCACGGCAAAGGCCTTGAGGTGGGAGTGTTCCTTTCCAGGAGGCATGCAGGTTACGGGGTGTGGGACTGGAGACAGGTTGCAAGGGGCTGTGAGGCCGTAGTAAGGATGATGGCACTTGCTCTGGTTGAAATAGGGAACCATTTGCAGGGCTGTGAACAAGAGTAGCATGATCTGACATATACTTTAGAAGAATTACAGCAGCTGCACTGCTGAGAATTATTTGGGGACACTCACCACTAATCCCAAAGAGTTGTATACTGTCCATGATGTTCATGGATAGCCTAGAAAATTAAAACTTAAGCTCAGCAAACCCTTCTCTTACATTTGATTCATACACTGTTATTATCCGTACTTTACAGGTGAGGAAACTAAGGTGCAGGGAGGTAAGGCCACTTATCCAAGGTGACAGATCTAGTAAATGGTGGAGCCATGATTTGAACCCAGGTTCACATGGGATCCAGAGCTTACATGTTTAAACACCATACCATTCTTTAGGTATCTGGGCTTAAGATGTAGACTTTTTTTTTATAGTATAAGTAATCATCAACTTCTATGCCATCCCCATACTTACATAGTCCTGGCTGCTTTGATTCCTTTAGTATCTGTCTTTTGATTTGGCTTCTTCTGCCTGAGCCTTTCCCCAGCAGCCTTTTTGTGGGAGTTACCTACTGCCACTAAGGTTTCACCATGTTGGCCAGGCTGAGCTTCCTCTAGACCTCACCCCATTCTGAGTAGATGCTAGTTCCTAGGGCAGTCAGGGTCTCTGTGTAGCTATTGAAGCTGATGCCCACTTTTTCTCCTCTCTGTGTTTAGTCTTAGTGTTGCAGGGAAATTCGGGGTAATCACTAGTGTTGTGTCATTGTTATGTAGGTTTACATAGGCTGGCCTGGGAATTTCACTGCAGCTTGTGGCATTGTTTCTGTGAAGGGAAACGGACTTATAAGCGAACTTCTGGAATACACTGCATCTCTATGATAGGGACTCCCTATACTTTTGTACACCAAGCTGAGCATGTGGCGAACTTGTAAAAGTCAAAGATTGATAACCAGAATGACCCAAGAAAACAGCGCTAGATCAGTGTACTTTTCTACTCTCATAAAAATAACTGGTTAATTATTTTTTCCTTCTTCATTCAGAGATGAGCATCAGGATTTTATGGATGAGCAGAAACGACTAAAGAAGCTTCGTGGAAAGGAGAAACCAAAGAAAGGAGAAGGGAAAAGAGCATCAAAAAGGAAATAGTGTTGGTCCCTCAAGAGGGAGAATTTCCTCCTCAGTGGCAGAGAGAAGAAAGTGCATTTATTGTCTTTCCACATATTGGAGGAATGTCATCTTCCTGAATGAAGGTTATTTGGAGGAACACAGTCATCTCCTTGTTGAAATCTAATCCGGTTACATTGTGGCTGATTTCTTGAACACATTCTAACTGTGCACAATTATTTTGGCCTTGGCCATGTAATGTGAGGTTTACCTGATTCTCTAATGAAATAAATACCTAAGTTATTGTTTGACGATTTGTTTGGGGTAGGGTGGGATGGTGGGGAAATGGAGGGGAAGCCTCATTAAGTGAGCGTCCTATAGTGTCCTCATTTATCCCTTTTTGTTTACTCACTCATCCAGCCCTAAACTTCTTTCATCTTGGGCCCTTCAGCCACTGTCTCCACCACCAAGCTCACAAACTTTCTGTGTGTCTTCACCTACTCCTTTGAGAAATCGATTAAGATGAATTTGTAGGGTATCTTTTAAAAGGAAGTATTGAATACCTGCTCTATACAAGATATTGGGGCCCTGGTAATACAAGTGGTTAGCAAATATTCCCTACCTCATGTAAGTTTTAGTCTTGTGGGAGGGACTAATATTACATAATTACATACAATTGTATTACATGCTACAAAGGAAAAAGTCAGACTTCTGTAAGAGCATAGATGGATGGATGGATGAATGCAGAGAGAGATAGCCAGAAGCCCAAACCACGTTAGGGAATTTAAATAAAGCTTCCCTAAAGAAATGATGTTTAAGCCGGGCATGGTGGCTCACGCCTATAATCCTAACTCTTTGGGAGGCCGAAGTGGGTGGATCACGAGGTCGAGATTGAGACCATTTTGGCCAACATGGTGAAACCCCGTCTACTAAAAATACAAAAATTAGCTGGGCGTCGTGGCATGCACCTGTAATCTCAGCTACTTGGGAGGCTGAGGCAAGAGAACCACTTGAATCCGGGAGGCAGAGGTAGCAGTGAGTTGAGAACGCCACTGCACTCCAACCTGGCAACAGAGCAAGACTCCGTCTCAAAAAAAAAAAAAAAAAAAAAGTATTTAAGCTGAACCTTGAAGGATAAATAAGAGGTCACCAAAAGGAAAATGGTGAGAAAGGTGTTTGAGGCAGAGAGTACCATTTGCAAAGCCCTAGGTATGAAGAAATTGTCTGTCCAAGGAATAATGATTTGTTCATGATTGGCCATAAGAAAACAGAGGCCAGATCATGAAGGGCTTTGCAAATTCTGTGGAAAAGCTTGAACATAACTAGAAGTTCTATGAGAGATGATTGTTGTATAGATTTGAGTAGCTCGCTGCTGGTTTTATTGTATTCTAGCAATGAGTTTCCAAAGAAATTGTGAAGGCTTGGCCAGGCATGGTGGCTCAGGCCTGTAATCCTAGCACTTTGGGAGGCTGAGGCAGGTGGATCACGAGGTCAGGAGATCAAGACCATTCTGGCTAACACAGTGAAACCCCATCTCTACTAGAAAATACAAAAAATTAGCCGGGTGTGGTGGCAGGCACCTGTAGCCCCAGCTACTCAGGAGGCTGAGGCAGGAGAATGGCATGAACCCTGGAGGCAGAGCTTGCAGTAAGCCGAGATCGTGCCACTGCACTCCAGCCTGGGCGATAAAGCAAGACTCTATCTCAAAAAAAAAAAAAATTGTGAAGGTTTCTCTGATTTTTTTTTTCCCAAGAGTTGTTCTGAATCTTTAGCATGTCTGGTAAAAACATAAAATTAATTATCTTAACCATATGTAAGTGTACAATAGTGTCAATATTCAAATTATGTATTATTCAAAAAATATTCAAAATATAAAAGTATTTCAGTGCAATAGTATTTATTGGAGTATGTGTAGCAGCTACTCCAGCCACAGTTTTCTTTCTCTGTAACACTGAATGATTCCTGAAGTAGAAAGAATCCCAGTACATATGTTTAAATGAATGCTACTTTTAAAGACACCTAATCCAGATGGTATGGCTAGGGCCTATTTTATAGCCTGTTTAAAAAAAAAAAAAAAAAAACTAAAATTGGGTGGTTTGTATGTATGTGATAGAAGTGAATTCCAGCAGGAGAATTCATTCATTTAGAACTTTTTTTTTTTTTTTTGAGATGGAGTCTCACTCTGTCTCCAGGCTGGAGTGCAGTGGTGGGATCTCAGCTCACTGCAAG